TATGCACTGGAAACCTCTCTCTTTCCACTTCCCCTTCTCTCCTGCAGAATGTACGCCTTTGCCTCTGAGAGGAAGCAGTGTTATTTGGGTACTCGCTACCACGAGGGGGTGGAGACGGCTTCCAGTGCAGACAGCTCCTAAAGAGACGAAACAAAAACCACGGCGGACGGGGCCAGTCACGGCACCGAAATGAAGCTGCCACGTTCAGAGGCTCGGAGTGACTGAGATTGGGGGTGACGAAGGAAGGAAGAACACCTGCACGAGCCACCTGCAGGCACCAAAAGAAAGCGCCGGAGTTGTCATCGCTGAGCAGCAGAGATACAAACGTTCTTGCCAGCAACTCTAGACGGGAAGACGTGCAGGAGAAGCGAAGGAAGGGGAAAGCTCATCTGGACACACTCGCACCCTTGGGAGATCGCTGCATGAGTCACTGGGTCCGCCATGCTGGCCAAAGCTAATGGAAACACATGAGCAATGCGCCCTCTAAGCTGTGGGGAGTCTCGTGAGCAAAAATCCAACTTTGTGAGCTGCTGGCATTAAAGTTCTGAGCGAGCGATTGGGCTACACTGCATAAATCCGTTTGCTCTGGAGCCACCTCCTTCCTGAGCTGAGGCAAAAAGGTGTAAGCCGGAGGCTAAAAAAACTGTGAGCCAGCTCACACTAACTCAGCTTAGAGGGAACACTGCACGTGAGGTTGCCTTACACAGAACTGGACTGTCGGTCTATTCAAGATCAGACATGGCCGACTCTAACTGGCAGTGCCCGCGCAGGTTCTCGAGTCGAAGTCTTCCCCATCACCTACTACTGGAACCTTTCAGATGGAGATGCCAGAGACTGAAGGCAGGGGTCGTACCACTGATCCATGCCCCCTCCTCATTGCACTTTCCCATCCAACCTACAATGCTGTGACAGGACAGAGATGCTAGGCTAGGGGACGAATTGAAACGGGAGGGGAGAAACCCTCCCGGATCTGCACAAAACGTTGCCGACCCTTGTTCTCCTCGGCGCCAAAAAGACG